ATTGTCCATATTCTATGAGCAATCATTTTTGAGTCAACATATTCTTCAAATGAACATGGATTGTAGATACGAAGAGTAACTGGGTTTCGATGAATCTCCTGAAATAAGATTGTTGGGCGTACTTTTATTTCATATTAAAATGCATAAAGAAGAGATTCGTAGGTCTCACTAGAAGAGGACGGATGAATCCCGTTGTTCTGTAGCCGTTTGGCTTTGATTAGATGTTTAGGTTGACGCAGTCCATGAGACCTCCTTCCTCGTTTCGGGTGAAAACGGGCTGAGCTTTCGTCCATCATAAAATGGACATCATCAGAGCTGGAACTAATTATTCTAAAAGTCTCAATGAGCATGGATTATTGGTACATGATTTGCCAACAAGCTTATATAAAATAGCTTCGGAGATGTTGGTAGGTAACCAGACCATGCATTTATCCCGCTGGGGAAGTGGAGAGTTTTGGAGGGGTTTGCAGAGGTAGCAAGAGCCGAAAATCTGCAGTTTTATGCTGATTATCCGTCGAGTCTGGTTTTTTGGGTGACTGGGTCTAATGGCATCTGTGCTCCCAGACCTTTTTTTAAGTCAAGCCTCTGTGTTCTGGTTTAATTGGTTTGCGCACGAATAGCTCAGCCATCTGGTAGAAGTTACGCTTCAGAAGTCCGTGGATTGCGTTGCTTTACAGTTCACTGTCCTGCCTTACTGTTGCCAAACTCTGAATTGACCTTCCACAAACTTACTGTACTATAAACCTCCGATTTACTTTATTTATATACAGCCAAATAACTGATCAAAATGCCCTCTACTTGTTTGTAAGTATATACAGAAAATATTTAACCTCATTCCTAGGCATTGCTTGAGGTTCAGATTTGTTTCACTTTCCTACGCTGTTTTAGGAAGATTTACTGTAATGAGTTACCGTATCAGTCTATTTCGTGGGGTTTTCGCCCATTTGGATGTGTGAAATGCCCATGTTTGTCCGAATAAGTCGTTATTTTAGGGAAGAGTTGATCCTTAAACAGAAGGCATCTGTATGCTTGATGACTTATTTCACTTTATTCCCTCCCTGGCGTCTACGGATTGCTCCATCCGTGAAATATATAGATGGGATCAGACTTGATAGCATCGTTATCTTTCTCATTCCCAACTCCGATTGATCTATCTTTTAAAATTCTGTAGCTTTGGTTACCTTTGCTGCTATATTCCCTGTCTTTAGGGCTGGATCGGGGCCTACGCAGATAAGCGTATTTGGAGGAACTCGTGTTTCCCTCCGGCTTCCGAGCCTTCAACAGTTGCCGGCCAGGCAGCCGGAGATCAGGCCCCTGGAGATGAGAGTAGACGAGACGTAGACGCCGTCACTGATGAACACTCGGAGGGGGCCGCCACTTCTTATTCGTCACCAAAATCGACGCAAGCATCAGTCGGTGACTGCTCTGGAGGCATCCGGACGTCAGGACCTGTGGACGTCGGCTGCAATAACACTTACACATCGTTTCCGGTTACCTCCGAAGCGGTGAACTTGCGGCTCGTGATGGGCCTGACTACAGACTTGATCGTCGACTTTTTACAACGCTTTATTCCTCCCGGTGAGATCGTGTAGTTGACATTGTATATCAGCTACTTCACATCTAAAGGGGTATTGGAAGTTCCAGGTTAAATCTTAATTAATTTCGGATATGTATTTACAGTTTTAGTCTTTGAAAGTGATTAAACACTATAGACTACCTTGCGTTTCATTGTCTCACTATTTCTTGTTTCCTTTGCTCTTAATTTTGGTGGACTGTGCATGTAGATCAAATGTTTATATGAAGACCAAGATGTTGTGGCCTCTATTTTGGTCGCATTCTCTTCCAGATATATAGCAGTGGTCTGACCTCATTTTCGCTCCTAGGTTGCGACTTAATTGGACGCACCTTTTCCGCGATACTCTGCTATAATAGTTATCATAGTTCCCAGCGTTGTACCGTGGACTTGGTACGTTCCCAGACGTTTCGCCGGCATCGTATTCAGCATTGTCAGTGAGTCTTGCCATTCTCAGCATCAAGCTATAACTCGTCAAGGAAAAAAGCTTGTTTTTATATGTATAGGTACTAATAGACAATGTCAACTACGCGATCTTACTGGGAGCCAAGTCTTGTCCCTTGGACGAGTTGTTACTCGGTACTGAGAATGGCAAGACTCACTGAAGATGTCGACTACGAGGCTGGCAAAGCGTTTTGAAATGTAGCAAGTCTCTGGTCCAGCACTGGCAAGTATCACAGCTATAATAGCAGAGGACCTCAAAAAAGATGCGTCCAACTAGTCCGCCCTGACAACACGACAAAGTTGTGAAAACGAGGTCAGACCACTTTTGTGCAAGTAGAAGTTGTGCATTTTGCTAATAAATGATTGTTATGCCTCCTAGTTTTTCTGGGGCATCGTTTTGGCTTCACTTTCTGAAC